GGTCCCTATTAAAATGATAGAGGCATCACCATTCAACACTGACTAGAATGAAGATGCTTTGGTCATTTTCCTGCCTATTGTGGTTGATTTTACACGTGATTTGAACTGTCAACTAGCCTCCCGCACTCACTGCATTTTAGTGGAGAAATCCTGCTGTTACTGAGAGATCCTGTTGGAGTTTCAATCCCAATTTCTGCTTGCTGCATGTTCACAGACACCCACTTTAAACAGATTCTGTTCCTAAAATAAAAACCGAAAGAACTGCGGATGCTGTAAATCAGAAACAAAAACAGAAGTTGCTGGAAAGGCTCAGCAGGTCTGGCAGCACCTGTGGAGAGAAAATCAGAGTTAATGTTTCGGGCCCAGTTCTGAGGAAGGGTCACTCGTCCCGAAACATTAACTCTGATTTTCTCTCCACCGATGTTGCTAGACCTGCTGAGCCTTTCCAGCAATTTCTGTTTCAGAGTCTGTTTCTTGTCAGCCCATTTATATAGATTCTGTCTGTTGTCATCTTATTTTAAATAGATTCTGTTTGTTGCCAGCTCATTAGCTGACACAGTAGTGCTTGTGGGTACTCTGCATCTAAATTGGTTACAACTCTCCACATTGCCCATATGGTTTAATGGAAGCAAAAACACAATTCAAATGGTTCACCCTCCATTAAGTAGCTACAAAGGTGCAAAATATTTTTGCAATCACTGTCCTCTCCTTTCTCAAGCTGGGTTCTGACTCCAAAACTAAAAAGTTTTAGCATGTGCAAAATAAAAATGTATACCTCAGCCAGCGTTTCAGTTAACAAACCAATAAAACCAGCTGTAACACCACAGCAACCCTTGACAATGATTAAAGAGGCATTTGGAACTGTTGCTATACACACAGTTGTTCAAAAGAGAGTTAATCATTTAGCAATGGGATTTGATAAACGATACCGGGCATTAATGTCAATTTGTGATGTTTAAGGATCCATGGAGGGTTTGGACGAGAAGTCAGCTCGCGATGTGACCGAACTTCATCATTCGTTCTGTTCATGTCACGTGTTGTTGTGATCTGATTGAGAACAGGGTGGAATCAGAAACTCTTGAACAGTAATTGGACAAAGAAAGGAGAATGGGCAATGGGGACAGACACAGGGAGGGAGATAAATTGTCAGGTGAGGGCAGCATTTATTAAAACATACAAGATTCTTAGGGGACTTGAATTAATAACCTCAAAGCAAAAGGTCGCAAATTTAAGACAGAGATGGGGAAGGAATTTCTTCTCTTGGAGGGCAGTGAATCTGTGGAATTCTTTACTGCACAAGGCTGTGGGAGCTGGCTCATTAAGGACATTCAAGCTGAGACACACCAATTTTTAATCAGTAAGAGCATCAAGGACAAACTCAGAAATTGCTGGAAAAGCTCAGCAGGTCTGGCAGCATCTGTGGAGAGAGAAATCAGAGTTAACGTTTCGGGTCGAGTGACCCTTCCTCAGAACCAAGGGAATCAGGAGAATCGGGGAAAAGGCAGGAAAGCGGAGTTGAGGATTATCAGACCAGCCATGATCTTACTGAATGACGAAGGAGACTCGATGGGCTGAATGGCCTACTTCTGCTTCGGTCTTATAGCACAAGTTAACTCGCTCACCCTGATTCACATTGTCTCTCTCTCTCTCTCTCTCTGTCTCTGACAATGAGCGGAACTGACGAGTTCTCTTCCTCGTGGTTCCCGCTTAGCTGGTCCATGTTGCCTTGCAAGGAGAGACGAGTTACAAGTGGGTAGAAAATAACAACAAGAAAAAAAAAGAGATCAACCTTGAAAACTCTTAATTATCAGCCTGCATAGGCAGTGGCCAAAGCAAGCTGCTATTTACAAGGTTCACTTGTTTCCTAAGAAGGACTCTTTTTCAGAAGATGATTACAGTCTTCTGCAATTCATCAAGCTCCATTGATTGCTGCTGTCCTTTCTACCTCCCACACATTTTAATAAGCCCAAGAACGGTGAATTCTGATTAGCCAAGCTGTTCTGGAGAGAAGATGTATTTACCGTCACTCAAAACACGCTCCCTAAAAATTGATCTTTCTTTACCTTAACTGCACTTTGAAAGAAAATAACAATATGCCAAACGGTTAACTACATTCCGTCAAACCTAACATGGAAGCCCAGAGGTAGGTCATGCAGAACTGTCTCCCTTATTTTTGTCTGGCTTTGGCCAGATCTAAAGGTGGATAAAATAATGCAGAGAGAGGGCGAGGGAGAGAGAAGGGAGAGACACCCCAATTTCGCCTTTGCTCTTCGGAGAGGAATTGGTGGGGGGTTTTTTGGGAGAGGAAAAGTCTTGCTTCTCCATCGCTGCTTTGACATCCTTGGTGTGTCCCAGAGATTGAAACCAGAGGAGGTCATTCAGCCCCTTTACAGCCTGTTCTGTCATCAAATCCCTACAATGTGGAAGCAGCCCATACCCACCCTCTGAAGAGCATCCCATCCAGACCGCCTCCCCTACCCTACCCAAAAACCCTGCATTTCCCCACGTCTAATCCACTTAACCTACACATTCCTGGACAGTATGGGACAATTTAGCATGGCCAATCCACCCTTACCTACACACCTTTGGACTGTGGGAGGAAACCCACACAGACACGGGAAGAATGTGCAAATTCCACACAGACAGTCACCAGAGGGTGGAATTGAACCCAGGTCCCTGGTACTATGAGGCAGCAGTGCTAACCACTGTGCCACTGTGCCGTCCAAATGGCTAACCTGTTCCCTCAGTTCATGCACCCACCTTTGCAACTGGTGCCTAAATAAATAAATCTTTGGTGAACAGAAAATCGAACGATTCCAGGTTCGTAACGAACAAACGGCACAGGAAAAAGTGGAGGAGAGTTCGAATGTCTACCACCCTTTGTACCATGATGTGGTTCCCATCCTGAAAATCCTAACATTTAGTCTCTGCCCTGCTCAACTTCCATACCAGTTTCCACCTATCTATGGCAACGGTTGGCTTCAATATCATGAGAACTTTGGACAAGTCACCACTAAACCTTCTACAATCATGCTTTGCGTTATCTCTCCCCATAACTTAACCCGTTTCAGTGCCAGCTATCCTTCTCGCAAAACTAACTTGCACTCCTTCCAGTGCCAATGTGATTTTTGAGGTCTGGCATTCCGAACCGGTACAAGTGGCTCCAAGCATGGGGTCTAACCAGGCTTTGTATAGTTTTAGCTCCCCCCTCCCACTCTGGGTTCTACCACCAATGAAGTTTAGTGACTGAACGAAATGCAGGAAATTGCACAGCAAGCTCCCGCAAACAGCTATGCCACAGGGACTGGCAAACCTGCATTTTTAGCCTTGGCTCATTGGGCAGCACCCAACCTGTCCGGTTCTGGTCGCCCAGTTACAGGAAGGATATTATTGAGCTGGAGAGGGTTCAGAAGAGATTTACCAGGATGTTGCCGGGTATGGAGGGTTTGAGTTATAAGGAGAGGCTGGATAGGCTGGGACTTTTTTCACTGGATCATAGCAGGTTGAGGGGTGATCTTAAGGAGGTTTATAAAATGATGAGAGGCATGCATTAGGTGAAAAGCAGGTGCCTTTTCCCTGGGGTGGGGGATTTCAAGACTAGGGGGTGTATTTTTAAGGTGAGAGGAGAAAGATTTAAAGACATGAGGGGCACTTTTTTTTCTATACACAAAGAGTAGTTCATGTGTGGAATGAACTGCTATAGAAATTGGTGGATGCAGATACAGTTACAACGTTTAAAAGACATTTAGATAGGTACATGAATAAGAAATGTTTGGAGGGATATGAGCCAAATGCAGGCAGGTGGGGCTAGTTTAGTTTGGGATTATGGTTGGCATTGAGCGGTTGGACCGAAGGGTTTGTTTCCGTGCTGTATGACTCTATGTAGAGATGGGGATTGAAGGGTGAACACTGGCCTGCATTGACTCCCAGCTGCTCTTGCTTTGAGGCAATAGCCTGGCATTTTTATTTTACATTCGCCGAATTCTCATCCAGAAGACATCTTGTGTAGTGCCGCGACGCAGTGCTCTGGGGTAGGGGTGAGGCTTTGCGCATCATGATTGGAAAGTGAGGCATGAACCCCACAGCCTTGCATCATTGGAAGGGGAAGGGGCACTGCCCAATGAGTCAAGGCTAAACAGCAGCACGGAGGAGCAGAGGGTACGCTTCCTGGAGGTACTCGTTTGTACTGTTCGCCCTTCCCATCATGTGGGTATGTTTCTGTGAACTTTAAACCTCGGTCCGTGGACCATTAGCTGTGACACAACAACCGAGATGACCATATTTCTGAAAAAGGCCTGCTCTGCAGGGAGGCTGCGTAGATGCCATTTTAGATTCGATACAACCCGCTGTGCGCAATGTAGGAGAACCAATGGCTGTGCTGGGTTATGGAGACTGAAAGGGGAAGAAAGCTAGGCGAAAACAATGAGGGAGAGTGAATAAATATTGGGTGCAAACTCTACCTTCCCTCCAGGCAGCAAGATGGGGAAATAGTTGGGCAGGTTGGCTCTGGAGAGATACCTGGGCCCCTTCTCGCTCGCTCCCCCGACTGGCTGAAGCGGGGAGGGAAAATTTGACGAGAAAGGGAAATGACTGGACGGTTTGGCCCTGAAAAAAAGGATCTTTTCCAACCTCCCCCACCTTTTTGCCACCTCGCCAATTTAAGTGGCAGGGACTTTTGCCAGCAATTGTCAGAGAAAACAGCCATGCAAAGACCTCAATACAGCACCTCCCCAATCACCAGAGTTCCCAGAGCAAGGGGAAAAAAATGGCTGCTTTCCTGGACTTGGGCAACTGCGGCCTGTGTGTTGGGACAGAGGCCTTCACTCTGTCCCAGTCCGGGGTGGGGGGGCAGACAGAGACACGGATGGGATGGTAAGTAGGTACGCTCCAACAGCCCCCACTCCTGCCCCCACCTTTTGAACCCACCCCCCTTCCCCCCCCCCTCCTCCCCCCTTCTACACTCCCCTCCTCCACCCCCCCACTGCACAATCCCGCAGGAGGCGACGGGAAAAGAAAACCCCAGCCTTCTGGCCAAAGTGTAGGCCTCCAGCGATGGCCTTTAGGACCCAGGAGGTGCAGGCGGCTGATTGGCCAGCATCTGCCGGTGCTCCAGGATTCCGAAGCCGCAAGGGGCTCTTGTGGCTCCGTGGTAGTGTCCCTACCTCTGAGCCAGGAGGCGCCCCCCCCCCCCCGGGGTTTTCAAGGCCTACCTGTTCCACCCGGATGCCCAACGCAACCCCTGAACGGGTCGATTAGAAAATACCCCCCAGGCCACCCCTGCTCTGGCATAATCTCGTCCAGTGACACCAATAACGACCCCCCCCCCACCTCCTATCGACAGTGAGGCAGTACGCGACCCACTGCCCTTCGGGGTAGTGAACTTGATCCTTCAATTGGGCCTGTCACTGGGCCTTTTTTTTTACACAGCAAGGGCAAAATAAACCCCTTGCCCGCTGCCCATAAACTGGGGGGGGGGGCACGGGGAATATGACATTCAGCTACACCTCCTCAAGGAGGAGACCACGGATGATGGACCCAGCGATGCTGAAAGGTTGGAGCGGGGGAGAGGTGGGGTCGGGGAGGTTTCCTTGCGTGACACGGAGCGAAGGTGGGGTGTACAGGTGGCTCAGCCGAGTGGCTCAGGCGTAGAATATCAGCTCTGGTAGCTGCCCTCCTTGTACCCCGGTGCCATTGGTGCTGTCTGAGGAGCACTGGAACTGGAAGGAGACTTTACCACACTGCACCTCTGTCATGCCCTCCTGTCCAAAGTAACTGAGCTCGTTCCCGTCCAGGACCACGCTGGCCGTGTAGAAAGTGTCCGGTTCGATCTGCACCGGGTGCTCGAACCACACCGGGAAGGTGTGGCTGGAGCCATCCGAGTAGAATTTGGTGAAGTTCTGGCACAGCAGGACTCCCTGCCTCTTCAGCTCGAGGGTGGCGCTGTACTCGGCCGCCCCGCAGCTCGAACCGTACAGCCCGAAGCCGGCGACAAAGACCCGCTTGTCCACCGCGAACTGGATGCTGTCGCAGCGTCCCCGGTAACGCCACTGGTTGCTGCGGTAGGCGCAGGACTGGAAACGGTGGCAGCGCTGAGGGGCCAGGCCCTTCCGGGGCCTGGAGACGAACTCCAGGTCCGGCTTCTTGGCCGCGGTGTACCAGAGGAAGATGTCGTTGGTCTCATTGAGCGTCAGGACGCCAGACTGGGCGGCGCCGTTGGCAAAATCGTCCAGGGACATAGCGGGGATGCGGATCAGGTAGAGTGCCTTACCCAGGACCTTGCGTTTGTTCTCGATGCTGGTGGAGAGCTCCCGCCTCTGGCACTCCACCTCGGCCCAGTTCAGCACGGCCTCGAACAGGACGATCTCCTTGGCGTTGAGGGTCTCCCGGTTCAGGATGCTCTGCAGGGTCTGGTAATCGATGTCGCAGAAGCCCTCGGACCTCAGGGCCAGCTCGGCCTGGGCATCAATGACCTCCCAGCACCTCTGGGTCAGCTCGGGCTCCTCGAACAGGCAGCTCTGGGATAGCAGCACACAGGCGTTCTTGGCGCTCAGGCTGGTCTCCAGGAAGTTCACGCAGGCTCGGGCCAGGTGAGGCACAATGTACTTCTTCGCTGCGTACAGGGTAGCCAGGACAGTGTCTGCTGCCAACTCAATCTCATCGCAGTAGATGTACCTGCAAGAGAGAACCAGGGCCTTTAAAAATCAGGAGCTGAATCCCAACTTGTCCCAGCTTATTCCAGGAAGGGGAAAAGGGACCATTCCAACCTGAGTCAGTGTGGCTTGTTGTGTTGGGAGGAGATAGCCACCCCCACCCACCCCATGTTGACAGCTATTTGCTGCTGTTCTTCTCTACAAAGGTGGCTCCTCTGAGCTTCGGCTCGATGACAATCAGATCATTGGCCCTCTACAATACAACCCCTGCCTTCTTCAAAGGGGACTGGGGCTAGTTTCGGGTTCCCTATTGAAGCCTCCTCCTCGCGCTACACACGTAGGGCCCACTCGGCCCCTTGCGCCTATACTGACCTTCAATCAGACCAAGGCCGATCTGGATCTCAGCTCCGACTCAGGAGGGATGGAGGGGTTGGATGCGGCTTTATACAGCGACAACCCATCTTATCCCTCTCCTGAGTTATATCTCTTGGTCAAATGCACTTTTGTCAGTGGGAACTTGGACGCTCTCCTCTGGTGGGTTTGCAGAGGGGATCAGGCAGTGGACCAGGTGGAAACTGTGTACATCCCCCTTGCCAACGCCCCAATGAGGTTTGTGGTAAGAATGCCCGGCACAGTGCTTCCCTGCATTTATAATAATTATGACCCTTACATGGACCATTCATATGTAGCCTAGGCAAAGTTGGTATTAACCCAGCGAGGGGCATTGCTCGGGGAGCACGATAGGCAGAGTCCCTACTAGGATGTTCTGGGGGACTGCCCAGCCCTCCGGTGCCCAATTGAGGTGCCCGGCATTGGGAAGAAGAGAGAACACTGATTGCTACCCACTTACCCTTGATGTTGAAACATCCACCTCTCCCCACTCCACCACCAAACCCCTCCCCACCATCATTCACTCATAGATCGTCATCCAGCCACCAAACTGGGTGTCTGCTCGGTGTTGTACCTGAGTCAGCCAATGCCTCAATGATGGCGCTGCTGAGCACCAGAGCTGCTGGTCTCTGATTGGCTGGCAGCACCTCCTTGGGTCCTTGATCTGTGTGGGAGGGGCATCGCTGGCCTATCAAGTGCCCGAATGGAATTCAGCCATGATCATACAGAATGGGGGAGCAGGCTCGAATGGCCTACTCCTGCTCCTATTTTCTACATCAACTTCATTAAGGAAAGAGGCAACATGTAGCTCTTGAGATCACAACTCATAGGAGCAGGCCATTCAGCCCATCGAGTCGCCTCGCCTGTCAATGAGATCATGGCTGATCAGATAACGCTCAAATCCTTGTTCTGGCCTTGCTACCTTTCCATCCAGCAGCTACGGCCTACGGCCATTGTCAGAATATAAATGTAAAAAAATACAAAAGCAGCCATCAGAAAAGTGAGAAGAATTTCTCTTTACTCACCTCTACTGAAGCCCCTTGCTTAGATGACACAAGAACCAGTGACTAATGGGGTTTCCAGGTTAATTTCTTCCTTGTATCCCTCCTTCCAAGGGATTTTAAATCATTACAAACAACTGATTAAAAACTTTACAAGGTGTAACAGCAACTGATCCGTGTGTGTGTGTGTGTACACGAATGCGCACTACTTTAACTATTATTTCCTGTTTTGCAACATTAGGGCACAAATTCCACAACCCCTAGCATGAGGGATTTCAAAACTAGGGGCCACATTTTAAAATGAGAGGAGAAAGATTTAAAAAAGACATAAGAAGATGATTTTTTACACAGACGGTGGTTTCTGTGTAGAATGAACTTCCTGAGGAAGTGGTGGGTGTAGGTACAATTCTAACATTTAAAAGACATTAGGATAAGTACATAAATAGGAACAGTTTTGAGGGATACAGGCCAGGAGCAGGCAGGTGGGACTAGTTTAGTTTGGGATTATGGCCAGCATAGACTGGTTGGATTGTTTCCGTGCTATATAACTCTGACTATGACTCTATAACACCTGAAGCTAACTAGATAGTCCACCTCTTACACCGCCTAAAATCAATGTTGGTAATTGGGAAACAAATGTTTTCTTCGGCAGTTTGGTTTCAGAGTCAGGTATTCCAGGCCCACTTTAGGAACCTTCTTTTATGATTGCGTCGGTGTGCGATACCTTGGAAAGACTTTTCCACTTTAAAGACGCTATAACAGTGTCAGTTGTTGTTGCATTGTTCAGGGACTAGCATCCATTGAGACACAATGTTTTAGGTTTAAGTCCCACTCCAAAGACTGGAGCATCATCTCAGTCCAGGTTATTGTAACCAGTGCACTGCTGAGGGAGCGCAGCGCTATCGATGGGGCATTGTACCAAGATCTCACTGTCCCTCTCTAGTGGGCAAAAAAGATCCAAAAATAGAATATCAGAGCAGTTAATCAGAAAGAAAGAGGGAACATTACAAACCTGTCAATAAAGTTAACACTCCGCTAATTAATAACTAGAAAATCTTGAAATCGTTGAAGTGATGAATTTCTCACAAATTGGTGTGGAAACTCAAGCTTAAGGCTGCACACCTTCTGGAGCTACTACACAGGAACACGTGGCGAACACATTGCGAATGAACAGTGTGTCAAATGTTATGAAATTTGAATTGGAAAATGAGATCTGAGATGTAGTTTTAAAAAAAGGATTTTCTGAAGAAGGGTCTAGGCCCGAAACATCAGCTTTCCTGCTCCTCTGATGCTGCTTGGCCTGCTGTGTTCATCCAGTTCTACACCTTGTTATCTCAGATTCTCCAGCATCTGCAGTTCCTACTATCTCTGGTAACTATCCAGTTAAGGTAGTAGCTATCTCGTTAAGAATTTTCCACTTTGTGTATGTGCGATAGAAATACATTAGCTGTGATCCCACTGGTCTAGTGGACCTGTCTAGGGTGATGGCTCTTTGTCCGTGGAAGTGTGTCAGTTATTTTGAAAAAAAAACTTTGTTGCTAACTTGACTTTTGCCTGATCCAATCTGAATACTGGAATGTCTGAGAATTCAATATTTTTCTTGTGTGCTGTGGCATTAAGTTTAACGGAAGGTTGATACTTATTGAGGATATTGACGAGTTCTGCCACTGAGAGAGTCCAAATATCACACTTGTCCACACAAATGCAGAAGGTTACATTACGATGTGACTACATCACCTAAAGGAGTTTGAGAGAATGTAAAAGTAGCCCCAAAAACCCAGAAAAAAAGCCCTTAAAAAGAAAGAAAAATGTGCTGTGAACCTGACTATTAACCCTAAATTGGTAATAAAATCAGAAATTGCTGGAAAAACTCAGCACGCTTGGCAACATCTATGGAGAGAAAGCAGAATTAACCTTCTAGGGTCCAGGGTTCCTTCTTCAGAGTTCTAAATTGGTTTCCAGTACAAATCTTAGAAAAATTAACATTATTTGGTATTTAGTAGTGTGCTAGAGGCTACATATATTTACAGACAGGACCCCAGTTCTTTGTAGGCAGAAGGAATTAGCCCTTTCATTGCAACTTTTCAACGAGGGAAGGGTTATGAAGACAGCTAATCCCTGCTCCTTGTCTTATGGCATTGCCCTGACCAATCAGATTCTGTGTGGTCTGAATTTAGATTGACAGTTAACAGTTCTTGCTGCATTTTCATGCCAACCATACTCCAGCCAATCAACACACTTTTCTCATGCTGTATAAACTGTTCACCTCCTTTCTCAGTTTTGTTTTCTTGCATCCCAGGCCTGATGTGTCTAAGACAAACAGCTTTGAATTCTTGTCCTATTTCAGCAATGCTCAATCAAATAATATAGCCATTATGAGAATACAATCAAATGTGCACTGACCCCATAATCACAGAAGCTGGGATTCATTGATTCTATGATTACGGGGGCAATGCACATGTGATTGTGATCACAAATCAATTACTTGCCAGACCGCAGAAACAGTTTTCATGTCAATCCCCATCATTGTCCGAAAATATAAATAGTATTCAGATTAGAATTCACATTGAGACTAATTGTGACTAATGCAAGTCATTCTTTCTTGTAATTTACTGAAATAAGATTATATTTCTTATGGTTCATCAAATTGTTACTTAATCCTTAGTATAAGTGAAAATATACTGTACAGTTATTTGTGTTCCTCTGTTACTTCAGTGTTCCAATGTGGTGAATTTCAGAGAAATCAGGCAGAGCAGTTAATATAACACAGTGTGGAGCTGGAGGAACACACAGGCCAGGCAGCATCAGAGGAGCAGGAAAGCTGACATTTCGGGTCGGGACCTTTCCTGCTCCTCTGATGCTGCCTGGCCTTCTGTGTTCCTCCAGCTCCACACTGTGTGTTATCTCTGACTCCAGCATCGGCAGTTCTTACTATCTCTCAGGCAGAGCAGTTCCTGCCCCTCGGTGGAAATCTTTAGCATTATGAGCGAGGAACATGTGACTCACATCACTGTCGCCACTGCAACGGACTCCCCCATGAAATGTTAAAACTGTGAGACCTCCCAATTGCACTAACGTTCCCGGGGAACAGAACAAACCTAGAGCGGAAACCGCACTGTATCAAGGTCAGTATCAGGGCTGGAGGTTTTAGCATTGTTGACTTGGCGAAACGTTAAGTCTGTTGCTGTCATTCTCACCGACGTCGGAAAAAAATACTCTCTCACGCGCGCACACTTTGGTGACAACCCAGCTCTCTCAGGCAACCAGCCTCCCCAGACTCGTCTCATTTCCCACACAGTAAGTGCTCACGTTCGAAATGATCGCTCCAATTTTGTAGGATGATCGCCCTTTGTCGATTGTAAGGACTGCTCTATACTGGGTTTGGGAGCTGCATGCCAAATGCTTAGGACGCAGGGTAATACTGTGTTTCTCTCCCAAACTAATAGAAGCCAGGCAATATTTAGACAGAGCGCGACATTTTGTATGACATTAACATACAGCCCTGTTAAGTTGCCTGTCTAAGGATATTGGAAGCATTGACTGTGGTTTGTGAATGTGGCTCACCACCAGCTCCTCAAGGTCAATTAAGGTTGGGCAATAAATAATAAAACAATGAGGAGTACAGATAGAGTTAATGGTAGTTGTCTTTTTATAGCACGGAAAGAGGCCCTTCAGCCTATCAGGTCTGAACTCGTCATCAAGCATCCATCCGTTCTAATCCCATTTCCCAGTAGCCTTGTATGCTGCGGTGTTTCAAAGGTTCATCTAAATACCTCTTCAAAGTCTTGAGGGTTCCTGCCTCTACTGCCCTTATAGGCAGTGAGTTCCGGATACCCCTCACCCTCTGGGTGAAAAAAACTATCCTCAAATCTCCTCTAAAACTTAGGTTACCTTAAACTTGTGTCTCCTGGTTACTGACCCCTCTACTAAATGGAAACATTTCTCCCTATCAACCCTGACTATGGTCCTCAGAACTTTGTACACCTCAATCAAGTCTCCCCTCAGCCATCTCAGCCTTAAGGATAATAACCCCAGCCTATCCAGTCCTTCTTCATCGCTGAGTCACTCTAGTCCACGTAATTTCCTGGTGAATCTCCTCTGCCCCCTGACTAGTCTAATCACATCCTTCCTGCAGTGTGGTGAACAGAACTGCACACCAGTACTCTAATTGTGGTCTAACTAATATTATGTTACAGATCCATCATATCCTCGTAGCTCCTGTATTCAATGCATTGACTAAAGACAAGTATCCCAGATGACTTCTTAATCTCCTTATCTACCCATCCTGCTGTCTTCAAGGATCTATGGACATGCACAGCAAGATCCCACTGATCCTCTGTACTTCCTGAGGTCCTATCACTCAACGTGTGCACCCTTGCCTTGTTAATCCTCCCAAAATGCATCACCTCACCATTTTCACAATTAAATTCCATTTGCCACTGTTTAGCCCATCTGACCATCTTGACCATACTGTCCTGCAGTCTAAGGCTTGCCTCCTTACTGCTTACCACTAATTTTCACATCATCTGTAACTTTCTGACCATACCTCCTGCACTGTTGTCTGTGTAGTCACTAGTTCTTGCTTTACAAGCGATGGAAGTTCAGTCTGTACAGCGGTGTGTACCATCTACAAGATGCACTGCAGCAACAGTTGTATAAGTGGTTGGTGAGGCTGCACTTGGAGTATTGTGTACAGTTTTGGTCACACTGTTATAGGAAAGACATAGTTAAACTGGAAAATGTGCGAACAAGGATGTTGCCAGGACTAGTAGGCCTGAGTTATAGGGAGGTTGACCTGGATAGAACTTTATTCCTTGGAACGTAGGAGAATGAGGGGTGACATTATTGAGGTGTATAAAATCATGAGGGGCACAGATAGGATGAATGCATATAGTCTTTTCCCCAGGGATGGGGAATTAAAAACTAGAGGGCATAGGTTTAAGGTGAGAGGGGAAACATTTAAGAAGAACCTGAGGGGCAACTTCTTCTGGTGTGTATATGGAATGGGTTGCCAGAGAAGGTGGTTGGGGCAGGAACAAGAGCAATATTAAAAAAAAAAATTGGATAGGTACATCGAAAGGAAGAGATTAGAGGGATATGGACCACATGCAGGCAACTGGAACAATCTGAGTGGGCTCCATGGTCAGCATGGTCCAGGTTGGGCCGAAGGGCCTGTTTCCATGATGTATTACTCTATGACTCTAGAACTCACCAAGGCTCCTTCGACAGCACCTTCCAAACCCGCAACCACTATCATCTAGAAGGTCAGAGGCAGCAGATACATGGGAACACCACCACTTGCAGGTTCCCCTTCAAGCCACCCACCATCCCGACTTGGAAATATATCGCCTTCAGTGTGACTGGGCCAAAATCCTGGAATTCTCTCCCTAACGGTCCACTTTCAGCACATGGACTGTGAGGGCTTACGAATGTGGTTCACCACCAGCTTCTCAAGGGAAATTAAGGATGAGCAACAAATGTTAGCCTAACTACAGTCTTAATTATTTCAGACACATATAGAATGCCACTTGCCTTTGAAACAAAACCTCTATCGTCAAAGGCTTTTACCGTATGATGCAGAATATATAATGAAACAAGAGAACGGCACTTACTTCAGCAAAGTGAGAAAAGCACAAGGTTCGATGTCAGGAATTCGAATTTCATCCTTATCTTCTGCCAATTCCCCATAAAACATGGCGTGAAATACTGAGCTCCCAACGGCCAGAACATACTGCAGGGATGGAGATTGCAAGAACAGTTAAAGCTGCTGAGGTTGTAGGAAGATCTCCGACAGGATCATGGCAGCATGGGAACAGGAAGAGGTCAATTAACTCCTCAAGGCCGGTCTGCCAGCCAATGAGATCATGGCTAATCCATGTCCTATCTTCATTTGAGGATGTGATGGCCTAGTGATATTATCACTGGACTGTTAATCCAGAGACCCAGATAATGTTCTGGGGACTTGGGTTCGAATCCCACCATAACAATTTGAAATTCATAAAAAAATCTGGAATTAAGAGTCTAATGGAGACCATGAATCCATTGTTGATTGTTGGAAAAACCCAACTGGTTCACTAACATCCTTTAAGGGGAAAGAAACTGCCATTCTTACCTGGTCTGGCTTACATGTGACTCCAGGCCCGCAGCAATGTGGCTGACTCTTGACTGCCCTCTGGGCAATTAGGGATGGGCAATAAATGCTGCCTGGCCCCACTGATGCCCTCATCCCGTGAATGAATTAAAAAATAATAGTCACCTTGACCCTATGCCCCTTTGGATAGAAATATTCTATCATTCCCCAATTTAAAGTTATCAGTTGACCTAGCATCAATTGATGTTTTGGAAGTGAGGTTTTTTTGATTATCCTTTTTTACACCTCCTTCCATGTCCTTTAGCCACCCCCACAGCCCAAGCCCTGTGATGATAATGGGTTGCTTTCAGGACTACCAACCCCTTTTCACCTACTCAAGGTCTCCATGATCAGCACATCTCCCCCTCCAACCCCACCCTGGCTTACCATCAGCCATCCTTTTGTCTGCCTGACTTTCTGGGGACTATTTCCACCTATTTGTTCATTCCTTTCCCCCTCCACTCTCCAGCCCCTGTCACCAGCATAAAGATTCCACCACGAACATAGACCTTACCCAGCAAGCCAAATGTTGATGATCATCCAGATGCAGGAGTAAAGGGCATTTCATTCTGACTGCAAACACTACAGGGGTGCAAAATTAACGACATTACTGTGATGTGGGTCAGTGGGCAGAATAGTGAGGTTGATGCATTTATTGCTTTCACGATGACTGACCAGTTAATTCTCCTCCAACATTCCCAGTTAATGAAAGGAACAATCAATCCTTGCAGCAAACATAGGAACAGGAGTAGGCCATTCAGCCCCTCAAGCCTGTTCTGCCATTCAAATGAAATTCTGGCTGACCTGTGTCCTAACTCCATTCACCTGCCTTTGGCCTGTAGCCCATAATCCCTTTGCTTGAAAAAATTATCCATCTCAGATTTAAAACTAACAACTGATCCTGCATCCACTGCCATTTGTGGAAAAGAAAAGAGTTCCAAACCTCTACCACCCTTTGTGTGTAGAAGTACTTCCTAACATCTCTCCTGAATGGTCTGGCCCTAATTCTTAGTCAATGCCTCTAGTTCTGGAATCTCTAACCAGGGGAAATAGTTTATCGTTATCTACCTTGTCTTTTCCGGTTAATATCTTGAAGACTTCATCAGACCACCCCTTAACCTTCTAAGTTCTAGATAAACAGGCCGAATTTATACAATCTTTCCTCATAACTTATCTCCATCATTCTTGTGCCCAGATTTGCTCAGAGTACTTTTTATTCATCCATGGTATGTGGACAATCACTGGCTATGCCAAAATTTATTGGCAATCCCTAATTCATAGAATCCCTACAGTGTGGAAACAGGCCCTTCGGCCTAACAAGTCCACACCGAACCTCAGACCATCCCACCCAGACCCATTCCCCTGTAACCCACCGAACCTACACATCCCTGAACACTATGGGCAATTTAGCATGGCCAATTCACCTAACATGCACTTCTTTGGATTTTGGGAGGAAACCCACGCAGACACAGGGAGAATGTGCAAAGTCCACCTGAGGCTGGGATCGAACCCGGGTCCCTGGCGCTGTGAGGCAGCAGTGCTAACCGCTGAGCCACCATGTCACCCCAAATTGGGCAACTCATTGGGACACAACAATTAGAGGTCCCACCGAGATTCGAACTTGGATCACTGGATTCAAAGCCCAGAGCGCTAACCATTATACCATGGAACCAACAGTCCAGATGGCAGGTAACAGTCAGCCATATTGCTGTGGATCTGGAGACACATGCAGGCTAGACCCAGGTAAGGATGGCAGATTTCATTCCCTGGAAAGTATTAGTGAACTAGATGGGGTTTTCCCCACAAATTCATGGCCATCATTAGACTCCCAATTAAATGCGAACAGGTAGGATGGACAATAAAGCATGAAGACATTTATTGTAGTAAAAGTCAGCATTGAGGGTTCCCAGGCCAGAATTAAAATACACCCTGCTTCATAATTGGTGCTTTGGTGTACAACATCATTGAACTTTCAACATTAAAACAATTAAAGAAACAGTTTGTGCAAAATTTTAGAAGTGTTTCCACTGGACTGATCTGTTGTAAACAAATTTGTTTCACTACGAAATCTCACTTTGTTCCAAAATGCTGTACCGAACATCTTTGACGTAACGCTTGCAGCATTTTGTGCTACAAACTCTCACAGGGACACAGGAGCAGGAGTTGGCCATTCGGCCCATCCAGCCTGTTCCACCATTCAATCGGATCGTGGTATGATCCATGAGCTGAGTCCAAATACCCGACTTGTCCACAGATCCCTTGTTGCCGTTAGTTAACCAACAGGAATGGATCACTGGGTTGTAAAATTGATAACTGATCTAGCATCATTAGCCATTAGCAGAAGGGAGTTCCAAATTTCTGCCAATCTTTGTGCATGGAAATGTTTCTTCATTATACTCCTGGAAGGTCCAGTTCCCACTTTTACACTTTGTCCACCAGTCCTAGACTCCCAAACCGGGAAAATGTCTCTCAATTCTAATTACTTAATGTGCACTATTAGCACCCTTTCTCCCACCACACTCCACCCTCCACCCGGCAACTGCATAAATGCTGACCCCCTCTATGTTTCACATCGGCTCTAGTGAAGCGTCATCTAGACATTGGCTTGCTCTCTCTCCATGGATGCTCCCTGATCCATTGTGATCTTCAGCATCTTTCGTTTTCAGTAAAGATTCCAGTATCTGCAGTAATTTGCCCCTACAGGAAACGCAGTATCTGTCTGTCTACCCAAACTGCTTCCATTAATATCTCAATCACCCCTAAACCTTGTACATTCCATAGCGAACAATCCCGGTTTGTGTCTACTCTCTCCTGGTTCCAGGGATAATTCTGGTCAATCTGCAGTACACTCCATCCAAGGCCAATAATATCGTTCGTAAGACATAGTGTCCAAAATCACTCGCAATGACTCTAAACAGGGCTTTGTACACCCACAGCCCGTCTTCATATCCCGTTGTAATTTAGTGATTGAGATCAAAGGGCCAGCATTCCATCATCCCTTCTGACTGGGTTAGAAAAGGAAAGGGACGGTTTTTATTTCAGAAAGCACATTTACATTACGAGGTGCACATGACTGAGGCACGCCGACGTTTCGTTAAATAACAGTCTCAGTTTGCATCAAACCCCACCCTCACCCCCGTTGCTTACCTTGTGCCCAGGCAATCGCTGAGTCCCTCCTTGTGGTCCAACCACAAAGTGAACGTCTGCCATCAGGTCATTGTTAAACATCACAGCATTTCTAGGGGAGAAGAGAGTGGTCACATGTGCATTCCATCAGAAAAGGTCATGCATTATGTGACTGTAGAAACTTTACAGCTCAGGAAAAGGCCATTCAGTCCATCAGGGGTATGCTGGATGCAACAAGAGCAATCTAGACCTAAATTCCACTCAGACAGAAGCGAAGTAGCCCTTTCGTCTCAGGGTGGGTTCCACTCGGCAGCGATTAAAGCAGTAGCCTTCAGGGTCTTTCATTTTATAGGGTGCAGTTCAGAGAAAGTTCACCAGGATGGTCCCTGGAATGGAGGGACTGTCTTATGAACAAAGGTTAAACAGGTTGGGACTCTACTCACTGGAGTTGAGAAGAATGTGAGGTGATCTCATTGAAACATATCAGATTCAGAAAAATCAATGCTGAGAGGGTGTTTCCCCTCATGGGACCAGAGGGCATAGTCTCAGAATAAAGGGATGCCAATTTCAGACTGAGATGAGAAAGAAGTTCTTTTCTCAAAACGTTGAGAGGTCTTTGGAACACCTTACCACAGACAGCTGTGCAGGCAGAGTCCTCGTGTAGATTTAAGGCCGAGATAGATTCCTGATCAGCCGGGGAATCAGGGGTCACGGGGAAACGGCAGGAAAGTGGAATCAGCCATGATCCTACTGAACGGTGGAGCAGGCTCGAGGGGCTGAATGGCCTTCTTGTGCTCCTATTTCTGATGGCATTAGGCCCTGTACCTTATAAACGTGATGAGGTCTCTCCTTCTACAACCATTTCAGGCAGTGAGTTCCAGATACCGACCACTTCCTCGGGTGAAAGATTTTTTTGTTTGACTGCTGTCATTCTTGGTTAGTGAGATCTCCTCAAAGGACGGCAGGTTCTAACACTCATTCGTTGAATGTGCGCATTGCTGGTTGGAACAGCAATTTTTTTTAAGTATGAAGCGCCAGCCTTCTGGCGTAGGTAGGACTTGAACCCAGGACCTCCTGGCCTAGAGATAGGACCACTATCCCAGCACGACAAGAGATCTCTTTATTTACAACTAAGTCCAGAGGGTAAGTTAAGAGTCAGCCACATTGGAGTCACATATAGGCCAGGCAACAATGGTAGATCTCCCCCCGCAAAGGGTATCAGCAACTTTTAAAAACAATAAACTTTAGGCAAGTTTTTTTTTAAATTCCAAATTAAATTTCACCGTGTACAATCGTGGGACTGACACCCATTACCCTAGAGTTGCCAGCCCAGCGGCAACACCTCCACGCCATCACCTCTCAAGTCCTTTTTGCCCCACTCTGCTGAGGCCCGAGAGTTTGAAAAACCTCAATCAAATCTCCCTTCAGCCTCCTCGGCTGGAAGAGAACAACATGCAGCAAGGTGGATGCTCCCTCAAGGCTCCACTCACCGTAAACGCACATCCCACGCCGCTGTTTCATCAAAAAACAATCTCAGAAAACCAAGCGAACCTTCACTCCTGTCATGCAGTCACATTGTACTCCTGTCTGTGGGCCCCCTCTCCCCAAGCTTGTTTGGCACAAACTCCCCCTCCTGACTTTGTTTATTTCGCTGTGAATCACAGACAACCACCAGCACCAGAAAGTGACCATTCGGCCCATTGAATCCATGCTGGACCTTTGTCTGTGCACCTGTTCTTTAGTCCATAAGGCCTGCAGTTTGACTGTCAACTCCTCATCATCACGTGGACATGCAAACCCCTCTCAAAAAATTATTTACCGAATCAGCTTCCATTCAGATGCAGCTTTCCAATTCTTAAACTACTCTAGATGTTAAAATACACCCATCCCTTCCCTCCCCAGATCTTTCGGCCTGTAATGTTTAAACTGATAACCTCTATGTTACTGACCTAATTGTCAGAGACTGGGGCAGAATGTTTAGACTTCCCCTCTCTTGAAATGTTTGCCTGGCTTCTCTCTATCTCATTTTTAAACATTGTTTCTTGCCGAAATGGATTTTAATTTTAAAACGCAGCATGTTTACCTTTGACACAAAATTGCACCTGTTTGGGGGAAAGACAGGGAGTGACCCTAAAGGATTTCCACAATTTCCAGCCTCAGTGGCTCCATCTAAAACTATGACAGAAAGATCACACACACAA